CCCTCGATTTTTTTCAATTTTAGTGACCTGGATATACATAGTATCATAATTATTACTAGTATTTTACAAAGGCATTTTACAATTGCTCAAACCAAGAATAAAAAAAATATGCTTCTTTCCACTAATTAGATTAGAAAGAAATTTAATGTATTAAGGTTTGTAAACATTTTTTTTATAGATAACTATGAAATATCTTATATTTTTAATACTCAGATGAACATCGAATATTTTCTTTCTTAAGAGAGAGCCAACCTCTAAAGATCTAGAATTGAAATGGCTTATGAATCTTTTTTAATAGGTAAAGATTGAGTACTTAATTGGGACACCGAAATATTAATTAGTACTGCATATCAAATCCATACAACTTCCACAAGATTTTGGTTCTTTGCATTTTGAGTGTTTTTTCAAATATATTAGAATTGTAAATTCAATTTTAAGAGACAATCATTAATGAGACATTTTAGATTTACAATTGAATTGACACTAAAAATTTGTGTTTAAACAAATTTTTTGAGTGCTTACCTTTAAACTATTTATAAAGTCTAAAATTAGCAATCAATTAAATTCGTATATTATATTAGTAAAATATTAAATAAAATACAAAGAAAGTTCATGATCAATAGATTTAATACTCATTTTCAAAAGATTTAAAAAAAATATTGAAAGCAACATTAAAACCAATTACCCTAAGAATTGAACTGGTACTCATGCTGGCCAAGAAAAAAACTAGCCAAGGATTCGAACACGGCATTACCCGGTTGGAAAAAAACCAGCGCTTCCACTGGACTACCTCGGCTCATTGTTTATCATAGGCTCCTTTTCTTTTATTTATATATAATCTCAATTTAAACCTAATACACATATGGACCTACATCGGGGTCCGTGGGGTCCCGGGACCCCATGGGACTCTTAATAGATCCGCCTTTGTTCACCGCCATAGTTGCTGGGCTAATTCCCATCATTGGTGCTTTCATTGAGAGATATTAAGAGTGAGAGATTGTAAATTGAGAGTATGGCCGGTCGAAGGACGAGAAACTCGAGGTGCAGTGCTGCAAATTCTCAAAAGTCGTCAGCCATGCCAAGAGTTCCTGAACAACCAGTCACGACACAGCCTAGTGGCGTTGAAGCGGCATTAAACAATCTTGCCAACATGATGGCAAATGTTATGGATAGACTCAAGACTCTTCCCAACCCATGTGGAGTCCCATGACAAATTTCCCAAATGTGGCCAGATTAGATGAATCCCTTTTCTGCAGGAACTCCATGTTACAGAGGAGATCCAGTGAGAAAAAGAGGAGGTGAAAAGGCATCTCGAAGAAGAGTTAGCCCGGAACACCTGTGAATGTGAAAGGCTAACTAGTGTCCTGGAATTACAAGTACAAGATGTATATATATAGGAGAAATCTAGGGCTACAAAACTTGTTCCCCAAATACAAGAAACAAATGGGCTAAAAATAAACCAGGCCAATACAAGTGAAGCCCAAAAATATCGAGCCTCCACAAACCCAACATTCTCCCACTTGAGGGCTTGATAATCATCAACCGCCATCAGCCACGATAGCTTGTACATCTAGTAATCTTCCTCAGCTCTCCTACTGCAGCATCTCTCTCATCAGTCACAACTAAATCTGTCTCTAACTCGTCCTCGGTCCCTACAGCTCCCACTGCAAACGCACACAGCCAGATCCTAGAACATCCTGAGAACAAACACTCTCCATACTCAGCAAGAAATTTTCTAGAGGTGTTTCAACAGCTGGAATACTGGTTCTCTTAACCCACTGTCTTCTACGAACCTTGGCTAAAGCACCACCTAAAGTCCCACTGCCACAAAAACCTCTAACTAGCCTCCTTGAACCTTTCTTCGCTTGTTCATCCGGAGTCTGACTTGTGGCTCTAGATTTCTTTCTTGCACAGACAACCTTCTTCTGCCCACGAGACTCTGTGAACCGGACTTTATTTCTCTAAACTGGTAGGGTCACTCCCTAAGATGGTAACTCGACTATATACCACGAACCTCTCTTTCTTCCACGAGCCATGACAAGATTTCCCTTCACGACCTTCCGCTGCATGTCTGCAAACTTCACTTCGTGTCTTTGTTTGTCCAACTCCCTGACAAAAATCAAACTTTTCTTCAATGTTGGAACCACTCTAACATCCTTCAAAGTCAAGAAACCAACTGGGGTCTGCAATACCATGTCACACGTGCCCGTCACATCAAGAGCTCTATCATTCGCAAGTCGTACCTTTCCAAAATCTCTAATAACCAAATTCTACAATGCTTCACTACTGTGGGTAGTATGTAATGAAGCACCGGAATCCATGACCCAAGAATCCACATTCAGAAAGACCTCCTCGTCACTAGCAGAGCCCTCAGTAATGTTCACTTGCTTATCATCCGGGCATTGATTCCTAAAATGCCTCACCTCCTTGCATTTCCATCATGTTACACCTGAGATTTCACGAGTCTTCGACTGACTCCTTCATTTGTTCCCGCTCCCACTACCTCTATTATTCCTTCTGCCTCTGCCAACATGTAACAATTCACCAAAACTCCCTAGAACTCTTCCTTCTAACGTCCTCACCAAGAACCAAATCACGAATCTGATCGGAAGTGAATCCATCGGGTCCTACTAAACCGGTGTTGTAACCATTCCAGACCAACTATCAACAAAGACGATAGCAGTAGCAAAGCTTGAATGCTTAACTGAAGTGCCTTCTTTCATTCTTGTGTTTAGCAACTCTCTATTGCCAATGGCTTCTCGTACATGTTAAACAACGCTTCCAATCCAAATCTGCCCAATCTGCATTCGACATTCTTTCTAGCTTGTCACCTAAAACCACGTCTAAATCTTTCTAAACAAACAAATCTTCAATTTGCATCTTCCACCAACTGAAATCTATATCAGCAAACTTCTCATAGAACTTACTGTCTTTCGCCATATCACATGACTAGACAAAAAATTGGACAAATCCACAGCCCCCAATAAAACCACTCCAAACCAAATAGCAAGCCCACCACAAATATGACACGGCCCAACTTCTTTTTCCATTCTTTCTTCTGTCCAGCAAAAACCCTTTCTTTTTTTCTTCAATTTCCTTTTCTTTCTTTGGTGCTGTACACGGCACTTATGCGGCACTCATCAACGTGCTTAATCAGGATGGTCAGCGGGCGGCTGCATTAGGCGATGACAATCTGCGGCAAGTGACGCTGGCGGTTTCGCGACTTGACGGCCGCTGCTCAACGACGGCTCCAATTGAGGATGGCGATACAATCTAGATGGCAACAGCTAGCTGTGCGTAGGTCTAACGCGGCGGCTGCGCTCCCCTTCACTGCGGCAGCAATTCCTCCGCAATGACAATGGCTCGCTACCTGTTCTGCCCTCAATTACCCGCTGCTAATGCCCGATCTCGTCGGCGTCGCTCCTCGCAACTGATTTGCCCCTCGACCTAAACGGGACTCCTCAAGCCGGCGGCGGCGGTCTGGCTGTGCACAGCAGAGGCGGCTACTTGGGCTCCGACATTCTGCACTTGACGGCGGCGGCAACTCGGCGAGCGGTTGGACGACACCTGCTTGCGATAGAGTAACCCTAGGTGACAATTTTCTTCTTGCCCATGTGCTCATGTTGAACAACCTCACTCTGATACCACTTGTTGAAAATTGAACACACATCACACACACACAAATCTCTACAAGAATCAAGAGTGAACATAACACAAATGACACACAATAATTTAATGTGGTTCAATTTCTCTAATCCACGGCTGCAACGGGAGGAATTTTATTCACTTGTAGTGTCCCGAAATTACAAAGGGAGAAGGACCAAACTAGGAGTAAAATATATGTCATATCCTTAAAATCAGAGTTCAAACTTAAACTCTTCTAAATAAGAATAATTGACTTAATAAAGCATAAAAAACTAATCACCACACGCTCTCCTTTTGCAGCCAACTCTAGAACTTAAAAGAAATCAGCCAACTCCACTACAGCATGCTGATGACGACGCCCACTGCTGCCATCGTCGCTGACAGCGACGCCCACAGTCACCGCGTCCGTGCCACTATCAACATCTGTTTTGTAACCCCAGTAGTCGATAAATCCAACAAACCGCGATGAACTCCACGCATTTCATTCAAAACAAATAGTGTGATTTTGTTGAAAACACCACTCGACAAAGTACTCCACTTTGTTGTTGGGATAGAGGCACTTTCATCTTAAGGCACGCTACCTCAAACCTCAAAGCTGAAAAAGTATTTGAGCAAAGATACTCTACCTCAAACTCACTGCAGATGTTGATGTCGACGGCTCGCCGCCACTATTGCTGCCGCTACGTCCCTGCAACTATAACTTATATTTTGCCTTGCTCCACATCCACTACGCCACTAGTGTAAAAACCAATTGTTACCATCATTAATTTTTCACAGTCAATGCCGACATCACCGCTCTCTACCATTGTCGCAATAAAAAATATGCACAGTCGTGATCACAGTGCCACATTAAATGCAGTGTCAAAGAAAGACATAATGCCCACATGGCACCACATAGTGTCACATATGACAATATTATGCCTCACGTGGCACCACATACTGTCACAAATGACAATATATAATGTCACACATGCCCATGTATAATGTTACAATGCGAATTCACAATGTCACAATGCAAAATTTACCATGTCACACAAGGCATAATTCCAAACCCAACCCAATGCCTTGCACGACTCACGATAATAATCACCCTATTCAGGGCAATCATAGTCCACCGTCCTCAAGAGTGATGCATCGTTGTTGCGCCGACCACAAATCATCATTATAAAGTATCAAAAAGAATTCGAAGAAAATAAAATTCAATTAAAGATCGAGAGAGAACCCGCTCACTTTTGAAATCAAAGGCTTTAAGGGAGGGAGATGGAGGTGGGGCGGTGTGGCATGGATGTAGCAAAAAATCTGAGAGTGTGTGTACGTGCAGGCGGCTATAGCGCTACGATATGGTTACGACGTCACAATAGAATGGATTGTGGAAAGGGATGAGCGAATCTTTGACGTCGGCAAAACGAGGTTGAACACTACAGCTGGGCAGCGAGTCTTTGAAGGTGATGACAATGGCGGCACAGTGTAGATGACAGAAGTGTAGGTGGTTGTGGCGATGGGGAAAGCAGATCAGAGATGGAGCACGTGTTGTGGATGCAATTGAGGAAGAGAGTCGTGCTTCAATCGGAAAGGTTGGATCTGTAGTTTGTGCGACAAGATTAAATCAATTGGGGTAATTTCTTAATTACCCCAATTAGAGGAGTTTAAGTTTAAGCTCTTATTTTTAGAATATGACTTATGTCTTACTCCTATTTGGGGTAATTTCTTAATTACAAATATAAGATGTGTATATATAGGAGAAACTTAGGGCTTCAAAACTTGTTCCCCAAGAAACAAAAAACAAACGGGCTAAAAATAAATCAGGCCAAATCAAGTCAAGCCCAAAAATATCTAGCCTCTACAAACCAAACAGTAACTAGATCTCTACTTTCTTTCTTCTATGCAGAAGACCCAATCGGAATTAGAGTAGGTTTCATCGCCAATCAGAGTTAGAAAAACACAAGCTACAAATCATCCATCCAAGTAGACACTGATCAAACTAGGGTTTCATGGTCACCGGTGGTCCGCGGACGTTCTCTTCCCTGCCTACCAAATTAAACGCTGGTTGTACGGTTTTTCTCGTACAACCGGCTGTATAATATAAACTACATGAACATATCATGGAGGGTGGATTTTAATGATGCTTTTGGTTAAGTATTTATATATGCATGCAGAAGCTCTTAGGCTCTATTTTTTTTATTAGAAAAATTAACTTCTAATTTTATCCAATCTTTTTCAGTTTTTTACAAACTCCTTTCGGCTTTTTCTAACAACGACTTAAAAAATGAATTTACATATGATGACTACATAATAACATTATATATCTAAATTTATAACATAACACTTTCAATACAAACAAAGATGAATTATTTTTTATATCCAAAATTAGTTTTCTTACGTAATTATTTGGGTGAATACTTAATTGAGTAATTTTTTAACAGTTTATTTTTCCAACATTTTCTAACTCGTTCTAGCTTTCTCTCTCCAGTTTCTTTCAACTCTTTCCTGTTTCTTTTAACATCTAACTTTAGAATTCTAACCGAAAAGTACAAGACCTTAGTATAGAAGCAACATGGAATTATAAGCTATTTGAAGCTTTCATCTTAACTTTTGAAGGTTAGATTATGTATTTTCGTACAAGTTTTGGTTTTTAAGGTTTATAATGAGAATCATATGAGGAAACTAAAACACATGGAGTCATTTAAAAAAAACACACATGAATTTTGACACGAAAGAGCAGATTTTCATCCTGTAACATGCGGTAGAATTTCAAGTTGCAAGAATCCAAACTTTGTATGTGAGGTATAGTTTGAGGCTTTCGGCCATATTTACATTTTGTTTTATGCATGTGGTTTTTAAAGTTATTATTTATAAAAATGAATTTATTTTTGAAAAAATCAATTTGATTTTTTTCAAAACTAAGATTATATTGCTAGGCCAAAAATTATCTGCCCAAAGCTTTGACAAAGAAATTTAGCATGGGTTAATTGACTTAATTCCAAGCTTGAGTTAATTAAGCCTATCGATATGCGTTTGTACTTATTGATTTTTTTTCTAAGATCAATATTATTAAAATTTTGTAAAATTTCTTCTCGTGCATATACTGTTTTACATAAAAACAAACAGGCAAAGCACTCCGTAATTTGGAACAAACAAAAATAAGAAAACAGAAAAAATTAAGTAAGATCAATGAGTATGAAAAAGACAAATAATAGGAAAGAACACAACATAAAATCATTAAAGAAATAGAGGGAGGGAGAGGGCACATAAACACCATCTTTAATCCATATTGCTTAATTGAATAAATTCTTGATGGGGAACCCAATATATGCAATAAAGATAAACGACGGTCTAACTACATTCTACATTCTTGCATCGCCAAATGGTACAATCAAAAGATAACAAGCAATACCCAAAGAGATTGGTGCAATGGCAAAAGAAAAAGCAAACATCCTGATGATCTATGGACCGAAAAAAACACCCAATGCATTAAAAATATTTCCTCCATCCCAAAATATTTACAACATTGATTCTTTTAGCAGTCACGAAAATTTTTGTTTATTTTTACGTTTTCATTGGTTATTTGATAAAATAAAATATTCTTGACACCTCTTATTTCGAAAAACTTTTCATGTAGTTTTTTGATATGTACGGAGTAAATTTTATTTTTTATTTCTATACTAATATGTAAATAAAATTAATTTAAAAAAACTTGATATTTTACTTCGGGAATACAAGTGGCAAAAATTTAGGGACGGAGGGAGTATAAGATTGCAAAAACATAGAAAGGAAATAGGTCCAATCTCTGAAACACAAGAGACGTATAACTCTTCTTGACAACGAAAAAACAAGTCACATAAGGAAATAAAATCATTTCTGATCTCAACTGTACCTCAAGCAGTGAAACTCAAAAAGGAATTTCAGATCAGTTCCGACAAACATAATTAGAACTGTAATAAACCAGAGTTTCAAGTTCTTTCCACAAAAGTAGCTCTTCCTCTCATCTAGTGGAGGCATAGAAACCTTTTGGGGTAGCTGATGATGACTATCCCAAAATTAAGCACCTGCACTTCATAAAATTAAATTTAAAAGCCCTTCACTCTTCACAACCAAACACCACCCATTGCATCCTGAACTTGTTCTGCATGAAAGAATTGCAACCTGTATAGAAACACCATAGTAAGCAGCTAAAGATGGTGTGTGACCACCGGAATGCAGGAACCTTTACCTGCAAAACTAGCCAAATGCATAAGACAACTTGTAGAGAAGTTCAGTAAAATATGCTTTACCACATCTCCCACAAATGAGGCTAAAACAGGTTGCCCTAGCAAGTTAGGTTTTACTCCATAAATGGGAAGGGGTGTTTTCTGTTTCTAAGAAGATGGTGTTTGATGTCCTTGTCACCTTAAGTCTTTATTAAAAAAACTAAACTACAACACACCGACTAGAATCCCACAAAATGTAGGGTCTGAGGAGGATGAGTACACAAACTTTATCCCTACTCAAAAGTAGAGAGCCTATTTCCAAGAGAATCCAGCCCGAGCAAAATTAAAAAATAGACTCACCACCAATATCTAGCTCTCAAACATACCCTTGTTTAGTGATATTTGACACAAAAAAGAAAAAATGTGTCCTCTATCCCTCTCACAAAATTAAAAGTAGAAATGTGATTTTGTACCAAATCAATAATCATGAGAAGAGATATGCACAAGAATCCATTTTTTAGCCACTAAGGTTAATTGGAGGTGGAATGGTTCTATTACACTTGCATAATTTTTGAAAGATTTGCAGGCTAAAGTTAATTGGAGAAGATAAATTGGCTAAACTTCCAAGATTTGTTTGCATGGAACCCCCTCCCCCCCCCCCCCAAAAAAAAGAAAAAACCAATTTTAAAATATGTTCAGGCTCTTTACTATGTAGAAGAAGTATAAAGAAGGTTTGCTTTATTCAATATCACAAGTCAGTGGACCTGTACTCCACCTGCACAGTGGAAAATGGGCAGTGAGCTATACTTTGAAAAATGGACTATTTTGTGCCAAAAATGAAAAA